GTGGTCTTTAATAACAATATCTGGCCGGTTGGCCTTGATTGTTCTGTCAGTGTGTATTGTGTAGTCCCATAGAATTATTATTATTATTATTATTATAAAAAATACTCTTCGGCTATAACTTTTCTTTAAGTTGTTTTATGTTTTTGACAATATTAAAATTTGCTGTTTACTTTAAGTAAACACCCGATGTACATTGATAGAACAGTTAGCATTACTGTTGGTTGAAATTTATAAAATCTTTTCCCTTAAATAATTTTCCCAGAAAATAGGTCTCTCAAGTCCACTAACTGATATCACCTTTCTAATGCTGAGGTTGGGGGAGGGGCTTCCTTCCTAACTTTTTCTTGACATTATTTTCTCTTCGAGTTAAATGCGCTATCCATTTTGGTTATTTCTGGGATTGAACATTCTTCAAGTAATTTAATTCCTGCTACTTGGTAAAGTTCTTTGACACTCTGTAGCGCCAGTTCACGAGATTCGATGAATGGTTTTCATCCCTCAAAGACCTATAGAGTTAATTCGCTCGAATCTATTTTTAATCATTGATCATAGAAAATGGTTGTATATAACTGACAGTTTAGCTATTTCCAAACGAACTGGAATGCTATGCATGAAGTTTGTGTGAGAGCCTCGATCTAGGGAGACTAGGTTCAATTTATTTGCTTAATGTTTTGTTTTGCATCCCCTTGTGGTATTGGCAAAAACGACCCCAAGAGCAGAGGTTTTATGTTCAATTTACTTATTTCCGTGTACTATGACAATTTTAATGCGTTGATTTATCCCAAGCCTCATAGTCGCTGAAACTTCTTACGGAATGCGAAAAGAGCAAGGAAACTAAACATCTGATCTTATTACTTAAATCATTTAAAAATGATGACTTGTGAAAGAAAACAAATCTTATTTTAAATTCATACTTGATACCTGTAATTTGCGAAAGCTTATCAGACAGGCCGCCATGTTCACTGTTGAAAATCACGTAAACTAACGCTTGAAATCACGTCGGAAAGAGACGCATGTGACGTTGAAGTGTTTACAAAAGTCTTGCCACTTCCAATCAATAATTGCAGATAGGAGCATCAATAATTATTCCGTCACCTAAAGATGAACAATAGATACATTTTACACTAAAAATACATTTTTTTTTCTGTACACTCTCCTTGTCAATATACTTATCGAACATCTTCTCTATTAAACATATAGATTGAATGTAGTGTGCTCCATAATTTTAATCTTGTGTCACATCTAAGCTATGCTTTGAAAATCACCATATAGGTCAAAGGTTATAAAGCTTAGAAATGGACATGTTGCCGATTAAGATTCTATGGAATACGATATAAATTATAATCTGGCCACTAACACCCTAACGCAGGAGACTATAATAGATAACTTTAAAAACACGGAGCTGTTTAAATGAAAAAATATATATATATAATATATATATATATATATATATATATATATATATATATAGTTAAATTCCCAGATGAAGCGTCCATCTTTTTAATTTTGAATTTTAATGTAACTATAACAACAAAAACATTTCGATTTCATTTTTGCCTTGAAAAAGTCGGAAGACGAAACGCGTCGGCAAAATGTAAGATTTTTTCCAGTTGTCATTTGATACCATATATATATATATATATATATATATATTATATATATATATATATATATATATATATATATATATATATATATATATATATATATATATATATATATATATATATATATATATATATAAATATATATATATATATATATATATATATATATATATATATATATATATATATATATATATATATATATATATATATATATATATATATATATATATATATTATAAATATATATATATATATATTTAACTATATTATATATATATATATATATATATATATATATATATGAAGGTGTATTATTATATATAAAAGTTTTCTCAACCTGATTCGGTAGAATAGAATTCTTTCTTTTTACATAGGAAACTTTAAAGGAGACTTCGCTAAGTGTATGCTGGGCATTTTGAGTGGTCCAGTGTGTAGCAATCTTGTTTCGCTAAATCAATAATTATAACTGAATGAATAGTGAGTTCGAGCCTTACATAATACATTGTACACGCGACCTTGTGCCATATCTAAGCTACACGCAATAAATCATCAGTGCAATGTCAATTTGACCGCTGAGTTCGAAATTATTAAAGAAATTGTATTTTACCACAGGCAAAATAAGTCACTGAAAGCAATACAGGCAAAACACAATCGCATTAATATTGTAAAGTGGACAGTTGCATGCGAACGAGTTTCGCGTGCACGCATGCGCTGGAGCATGCGCTTTAACGATAGGAAGCTCGCTATTTGTACACCAATAACAAGTGTGACTGCGGAATAAATTTTCTATGGATAAGAATATATTCTGAAGGGGAGAGAGAGAGAGAGAGAGAGAGAGAGAGAGAGATATGGAGGGATATTTTGAAATAAGTATTTTTTAATTCACGAAAAGAATTCAAGAACATGAAGTCTTTTTCTTAATTAAGGTACTGACTGCAAATGATACACACGACCTCAACCCTGTAAAAAATATGTAAGGGCAACAGTTCTTTAGATGAATATAACGTTTAGATTTAAGTGCTATAAAGTAGGTAATTAGTTGAATTTGTGTAGATAAAGATGTATGTTTAAGTAGCAAAAGCTATAGAGGAAACAAGAAAAATCATTGTTATATTTTATTCTTAACGTCATGGGAACGTTAATAACAGTTCAGCTGGAAAGAAGTGACGAAGAAATAAGTGCAATGTAAAGTAAAATTGCATGTTTTAGTTAACAAAACCATATCTTATGGTTAAAAGAATTGCTGTTTAAGTTTACGTTTTAGCAGAATAATTTACATGCGAATGGTGTGGCATTTTAAAATTCACGTTTAACAAAATATTGGAAAACATTTTAGCGTACGCTAGAGAGAACGAGAACAATCGAAAGAAAACAAATCTTATTTTAAATTCATACTTGATACCTGTAATTTGCGAAAGCTTAACAGGCACGCCGCCATGTTAACCGTTGAAAATCACGTAAAGTAACGCTTGAAATCACGTCGGAAAGAGACGCAGGTGACGTTGAATTGTTTTTATTTATAAAGGTCTTACCACTTCCAATCAATAGTTGCACATAGGTATATCATTAAGTTCGTCGCCTAAGTATGAACAAAAGATGTATTTTACAGTAAAATATATATTTGTGATATAATCTCCTTGTCAATATATCGAACCCAACTTTTATCGATTAAACATATGGGTCTAATGTTATACAGTGAACATCTATCTATCTAGTGATTTTCACAAGATCTACCACTTTGTAGAACAGACTCCCACTTGGGTACTTCCTTTAACACTACAATCGTAACCTCTTCAATTAAATGATCATTAATTTTTGTATCCACTTTATCCTCTTTCGCATCTTACCACCCCACTCGTTCTATTCTTATCACAATCTTCATTTATCATTACCATTTTAACAATAACCCTCTTCCTAAAGTGGCTCCCGGGTCTTTAAAGTTAGTATTAGAACAAGAACTGAGAGAAATACTTTTATATGCATGAAATACATCAGGAACTGTATTACTGTTTGGATCGCACTGTTGAATTTGAAAAATAAATCATTCTTTTACGATATGCCTTAAGTCGATTGCTTATTTAAAAACAACCTGGACACAAAGTGTCTTGGAGAAAATCTCAAAACGGGAATTGAACTTACGAACAATTGCCTTTGAAAACATCATATTCACTACCAGGGTTGGCACCAGGGTACTCAGCGCCCTAGGCTAACTCTACGGTATGCGTCGTCTTTTCTTTGGCCAATAGGTTCGATAAGGTAATTAGATAAGATTATACCAGATTATGCGGATGTCAGTAATACACCAATTGGCACATAATAAACATCACCTTCATAAAGAATTAAGCGCCCTAGGCGATTTTCTAGGGGAGGGTAGTGTTGGTCCCACTATTTCCTGCCAAGTGCCTTATTTTACATTCTACCTAGTCTTGCACAAGGCCAAAATATAGAATCCTCTTGCAAAACCTGCAAGCTATCAATTATGCTACGATAGGCAGGAGGGTGTGACAAAAATTGGCAAGAGAGGAAAGAAATGAAAACGAAGTGGGGGATAATTTTGCAATGGACTCTGGAGTTGTATTATTGAAATTGGGATGAAGATTTGGAGCTGTCACGTGACCAACATTTCGCACTTGAACGACTGATCTAGGGGACTGAGGCAGAAGGCTGGAGATCGAGACAGAAGGAAGTGGACCTGACAGAAATGGCAAGGAAACAATGACAAAGAAAAGGCGAAAGAATCCATCAGAGAGAGAGAGAGCAAGAAGAGAGAGAGAATGAGAGATAGACATAAATATGTATAGAAAGAGACAGAAAGGGAAAAGAAATAGAAGAAATAGTGAATGGAAGGGAAAGCGTAAGAGTAAAAGAGAGATAGAGATAGTGAGATCATTTGATTTGAGAGAGGCAGAGAGAGAGAGAGAGAGAGAGAAAGGAGGAAAAAGAATGATATATATATACATATATATATATATATATATATATATATATATATATATATATATATATATATATATATATATATATAATATAATGGACTAAATCCGACAAATATTTTAATATATTTTCTGTTTATACGTTCATACGTTATTCTTATAGATATATGTTGTTAATACTGTTTATTATAAACAGAGAATTAACTTATATATTTGTATCTATAAATATAACGTATAAATGGATATATATACATACACACACACACACACACACACACACACACATATATATATATATATATATATATATATATATATATATATATAAAAGAGTGTTAAAAATTCAAGAACTACGGTGAAATTGGACGCGAACAAGAAAATCGTGATTAAATAATGATTTTCCAAGCGTAGCTCAGATGGCAAAAGGCCAAAAGTATAGGGCACCCAGAAATCGTGACTAAATATGGCAAGTAGTAGTGTGAGACTTTGTAATAGATTTAAAAAGTGAAGGAAGAAAAAAAGAAAATGAGTGAGAAATATCGAAAGAGAGAGAGAGAGAGAGAGAGAGAGAGAGAGAGGGAGAGAAAACAGGAACTGAGTGTGCATTTGACTGTGTATGGTAGAATAAAACCTCAAAGATGAAAAAGGAAAAAGAGAAGAAGTATATATATATATATATATATATATATATATATATATATATATATATATATATATATATATATATATATATGGTTATAGTTATAGTTATGCAGAAAAGGAAACGCTGGCATTTTAAAGTTTAAATTATTTTTTATAAACTTTCCCTTCGTACACATACACTAAAGTCATCTATCTATCTATCTATCTATCTATCTATCTATCTATCTATCTACTGCTTCGCCACTGATAGAAATTGTTGTGCTGTTTTGAGGAAATGGAATAAATTCGACTTTTAAAAAATTATTTAAATATATGTAGTTTTAATGGATACTCATATTTGAGTAGATGTGCTATTCCATTTATTTATTTATTTATTAACAGTATATATATTTATTTACTTCTACCAGCCTGAATTTATATATATATATATATATATATATATATATATATATATATATATATATATATAGAGAGAGAGAGAGAGATATTTAAAAATGAAAAAACTGCGGTTCTTATGGTTAAACGATGGTGGACGCGATGGAGGACGCGATGGTGGACGCGAAACAAGGAAATCGTGATTAAATATGGCAAGTAGTAATGTGAAGCTTTGAAATACATTGAAAAAGCGAAGGAGGAAAAAAGACAATATGTGAGAAATCTAAAATAAAGAGAGAGAGAGAGAGAAAAGAAGAGAGAGAGAGAGAGAATAAGAACTGAGGAAACAGCTAATATTACCACGGTATTTACTCTGTCCCTCCGCTAGGACGAGATGTGACACAAGGTCTATTTTTAGGTGTGAACCCGAGCGCGTAGGCCCTGGGACAAGTACAAAAATTCCCCTCCGCTCCGCAACTGTCGGTTGAGCTGGTCTCGGTGCGAGCACCGATCCCTCCCTTTGGTGCAATGGGAGGGCGCGGCCTCGGGCAGATGTTCCCCAGGACTGGGCACCTCTTCAGTATTATTTTCCTCAGTTGCTTCTCTGTCCTTTGACAGAGAAACCCCATAGCGCACTCTGTCCAAAGACAGAGATGCAACTGAGAGATGATAAGGAACCGTGAAATTACTCAAAAAGAGTAATTTACACGCTAATATTACCACATACAAATTTTGGGACCACAATCTGGATTTAATAATTAATACGTCGCATTCCTTCTTTGGTTTAATTAACTCCTACTTAATTAAGATGCTGATAATATTTAACACATAGCGCCCAATTTATTTTAGAGTTGTGATCACGTAAAATGTTAAAACCGTCAGCCCTAAGATTAAAATTAGCCAACAAGTTAGACTATACAAAATGAGCTAAAATTTTAAGCTTAATTTCATTATTACTATTATTATCATCATTTGTGTATGTTATATTTCCTGCTTCGCATGCTGTAGAACCGTTTGCAAACTATGATCCTTAAGCCCTACACGAGAATTACCATTTAATTGATATGCCTTTTCTTAGCGTATCGGATTTTGATGTTACCTGTTAGTAAAATTGTCCATTCCTTTTCTAACGAGGCCCAAAGCTCAGATTACTATTGGTGCAGTGTCTTCATTCCCTACTTCCTGTTAATGTCAATCTCCAGGTAGTTCTATTTGGAAAATTTCTTGGTAATTTTCATGAAGGTGTTTCTCTCAGATGTTACTGCTATGTCAATACGCATACACTTCCTGAATTTATTGTCTTTTTTGATAATATCAATTCTGTAAGCTTTTTTCCCTGTCAGTTTGAATTGGCATGTCCCCGAGGATAGTTACATCATTATTTTGTGTAATTGTATCTGGTTGGTGTTCATACCATCTCTCAGTGTTTCCGATTTTGTGTTTTTGGTGTATATTCCAGTGCACATACGTCGATACCTTGTTATGTCTGTGGGTATATTCCTTTTTTGGTATTTCCGGAATTCCTGAGTTAATATGGTCAACAGTTTCATCATATTTTTGCACAGGTCCTGCATTTTGGATTAGTTCCATCCTTGATTATGTGACAGTGATAGGATCCTGTTGCGTGATTATTATTATTATTATTATTATTATTATTATTATTATTATTATTATTTTCTTTGATTTCTGGCGTTTACACATTTCTTTCCTGGTGATGGGCTGTACTTGTGAGAACAATTTTTTGTATCTCCTTGAGGTATGGACTTCCAGGAATCCCTTCAATTAGTTTACTGCAATCTTTTCCAACCAATCCTAGGGCTCCAACTACAACAGGGATTGTTGATGTTCCCATATGCCACATTTTCGAGATTTCTATTTCAAGGTCCTTGTATTTTGACAGCTTTTTGAATATCTTCAAAGATACAATGTAGTCAGCAGGGACTGCCATATCAATAAGGAGGCACCGTTTTTGTTTGTGGTCTTTAATAACAATATCTGGGATTATTATTATTATTGAATATATGATCAGATAAATGATCAGATAATATCCTTATATATATATATATATATATATATATATATATATATATATATATATATAGTTTATGCAAATTTAGGTAATCCGTATGGGTAGACCTGAGGAGGATGATATCCAGAGAGCTCAATGTAAAATTCAGAGCATATATGTTTGAATAAAAAGACAGACCACGTTAAGATTCCATGTAATAAGCTATTTCACTATAACCCCTTTAACAGGGTTCTGGATCATCAGACTTTACTTCAAAAGCTGAAATGAAAAAATGAAAAATGAAAACAAAATCAAAAAGTCTGAATTTCTTTTTTCATTTTTTCATTTCAGTTTTTCAAAGTGAAAGTCTTATGTTCCAGAACCCTGTTAAAGGGTTATGGTGAAATTTTATTACATGGAATATATATATTTGTATATTTATTCAAATATATATATATATATATATATATATATGAATATGGAAAAAAAACGAAGGCTATAAAAAATTACTTTGTGAATGTACGAATGAAAAGAAATTTAATGAAAATGTCTAATCGCAGTGGCTTGTCAGACGTCTTCAATGAAACATGTATGAAAGAAGGATTGCTGCCAAAATACTCAATATATATATATATATATATATATATATATATATATATATATATATATATATATATACTCAAACAAACAGTAGACCAATTTAAACTGTTGCTGTTTACTTTTACCAAGCGTCTGGTTAATTGCATCCAGCTATTTGGATAATATTTACATTGGGATGTTAGTTATGTGCAGCAAAGATTTTGCATCGACGTCTAAAACTCGACAGAACATGAAGTGTGTCTTATGAATATGTCTATCACACAGTCATAGAGGCTGATAGGAGGACGGACAGACAGACAGGGTTTGGGAGAAAAGAGGCACAGAACAAAATGGCTGAATGAGTTTAGTGTTGGAAGAAAAGGATCGCAGATCGGCGCTGAAGTAGTTTGCTGGAGACGTCTAAAGACGAGTGTCTGTAACTGTAGACTGCGCCGAAAATATGTCTTCTCGTTCGGCTGGCAGCTTCTTGGAGTTCGCTTCAGAACACAACCGCTGAAGAGAAGAAAAAGAAGGGCTTCTCTATACGAATTAATGCAGCTTAGTGCGTGCGTGTCCATCTTGAGTTTGGTCTTAATAAGGAATAAGGGTAAGGAAGAAGGAATGATGGCAATTCGAGTGTTCGAAGAAGGAAAGGAAGATGGGAGTTCTGGTAAGGACAATGACGTTGTCTTGAGGGGAGGAAAAAGAGATGTGGGGAGGTTTGCGAATTTAAAAGGACAAAATGAGAGAAAAAATGAGGCAAAAATACGAGAGTTGAAGTGGAGTGGAAAGAAGAGAAGAGATTGTGGGAAGGAGAGAAAAATAGAGAAATAGAAAAGGAAGAACAGTTGAATGAATGCAAAGACGCAAATGTGGAAAAGGACATATGCAAATGAATAGATAGTGGGTTTAATCAATCAGGCAAGTGACACCTGACCTATTGGATTAAAGAGTTGGTTAAAACACAGCAGGTCCTCTAGCAGTTGGGTGTTCAATCTCAGGCTCTGACAGTACTGAAAATACGCATAAACAGGTTTAACGTCAAAAACGGACAAGCAACGCACAGTTGAATAATGTTAGTATCCACCAGTCCTATAATCAGTTATGATCCACCAGTATCTATAAAAAGAATACCCGCTCGGCCCGGTGGCTAGGATCAAAGTGTAGTATCTGCGCTTTGTGGGCTGCCGGGTCGGGTGTCTCGTCGAACTCTCTGCTGCAGAGAGGAACCCGGACGAAGCTCCGCCGAAGGGTGGGGTTTCGTTCGGGGATGTGAAACGGAACTAGCCCGCTTGGACGGGTTTAGATGGGTTTATTTTGGCTGGGCCTGGGCTCCAGACATACCCACAAAAAAAAAAAGGCCTTGTGCCACATTCAATTCCTGTGGGTGAATTGATAAATACCATCCACCAGTCCTGGGAAACTATGGAGTTTTAACGCTATTGATACTCGGCGGAAAATCAAGAGAAATATGATGAGAGAAATACTAATAAAACATGATTAAATAATTAATTTTTAAATCAATTGAAATAATTTAAAAGAAAAATCTAGAAAAAAACATTAATAATATTACAATAGTTACACCCAAAGAAACGCGATACGTAAGGTTTAAATGTAAAATATCCCTTGAAAATTTTATTTTAGTTTCAGTTTCAAGCTAGATTAAATTTAATATTTCCGATGAGAAAAATACTTTATTTCAAAACTAATTTAAATTGACAAGAGGGAATTTTGCTTTTTTAAATCGCTAAGAATTGCTGATTTTAACGCCATTTTTAACTACCTCTCAGCACAATGTTATTATCTTTATTTAAAAAAATATCTTAAAAATAAAATATACTTTTATGAATCTTTATTTGAGAAATAATAGCTGATTTAAAGTTTAATTAATCTGATTTGGAACAAATATTACTTACTTTTAGTTTAAAATATTGCAGAAAGTTCTGTTTTAACACGTAGGTAGGTGTTTATTTAAGGTGTTGAGAGCTTTACTGACAGCCAGAAGTTTATCTAATTTTTGTCTACGGGAGACATATCTGTAAAAGTTACAAAGTGATTGCATTTTTTTTATATAATTTTTAACTACACAGTAATCTTAAAAATTTAGGAAAATATTCGCCGTAGTCTAATGTTTATTGAATTTTAAGTAATTTGGATTTAAATTTGATATAGTTATCGCTCTTATTTTCTGATAATATCGTGTATCGTGTCCGTATTTACAAAAATCGATATGTTTATACAGACAAAAAAATTCCAGTTTTAAAAAAAGAAAATATTGGGGCTTGCTGAATTGTAGTAAACTTTTCTATTTATGATTAGTAAATATAGTTTTACTTAATAACAATATCACCTAACCGGTACAAATTAATACAGAATTGTAAAAGATTTAAAACTTTATAAATTATTCTAATAAATTTTAAAAACTGAATTCATTATTCATCGAAAAATTTTCTTCTTAGGCAAAAGCTTTTCTAATTAAATACTGTTTATTTTTATCGCATTTTTTTTTATTTTATGATGCAGAACAGATTTTCGGTAAATGGGAGTTCTTTTTTACAAAAAAAAAAAAAAATGGGGTTTAAATTTGCAAAGAAGTTCTATGTGTAACTAACATAAACAAAAATGACTTTCTCGAAACAAGGGGATGACTCCTATCCAAAATATAGAAGGAGAAAGCCAGAAGATGGAGGTCACATCGGCAAGATCAAAATTAGACAATATGGATGTCAAGAAGAAGAAGAAGAAGAAGAAGAGCTGAAGGGACAAGAAGAAGAAGAAGAAGAAGAAGAAGAAGAAGAAGAATTTCTAAGCTTGAGTAGAAACTGATCTAAATGAAGGAAAATTGAATTCCCGAACGTGGAGAAGGCAACGGGATACAAATCTACTGTCTTTCACAAGAAGGCAGGGAATTTACATGTAAGCAACTTCGAGCCTGGTCAGTACCAAAATGGGTGACCGTTTGGGAAAACCAGACGCTACAAACATTGATGTACGGGTGTTGTAAGGGGTAATGACTCGGAATGGTTAATCGGAAAGCCGCGTTCCAATTCCCGTAGAGATCCTTATATTCCCTTAAGCGCAAATACCATTGGGAATGGTATGAATCCACCACTTCTCCCTCTAGCTATGTGTTACTTTTACTAATTTGTATCACTAAACCATTATTATCGCAAAAGAAATTTCTTTCCATCTTATTTTCTGGTTTTCAATATCAGGCAAAGAATTGCTAAGCAAATCGATCGATCAATCATATAATACAGAGAAAGAATCCGAGGATAGTCAACAAATTGAAGGCAAGAGGCACAGAGGTAAATAACTCATAACCTACGGAGAGAGCTTGTATAAATGGATGGCGAAATAAAGTTTAGGAGAGATGAAAAGACAACATATATTAGGAGGTGAATAAGAGAGTTAATTGTAGAGAACCTCAATCGATAACGTCCTGAACGGACACAACACAAAGAAGAAGAAGAAGTCTTTCTAAGCTTGGGTAGCAACCTATTTAGGAGAAGGAAAACTCAATTCCCCTTCGGGGAGAAGGCAACGGGACACAACTCCACTGTCTTTCACAAGAAAAGCATATAATTTCGTCGTCGGTTTCATCTCGTCTCCAAGAATTTAATTTCTTTTTTTTTTTTGCTGATCGCTTCCTTTATGATGATGGTGTTGATGACTACATTCGCCGCCAAAAGTGAAGCTTCAAGACAAGAAACTTCCAGTTTCACCAAAACCAGTTCTCGTCACCCATTTCCTATCGCCATTTAACTTTGCAACAATTGGTTGGAGTTGAACGATGATCAGAGTAGAAGAAATTGCTAATGGTGTGAATTTGTTTAAGGCGGATCTCAATTTGCCAGGAAGTGACCCACACACTTGAATGACCTTTCCTCTGCGGCACATATGGAATCAGACATGCAGAATCCAGTTATGAATCTACGGACGGACGCTGACTCTGCTATAATTTCGAGTGGCGCCTTCTGTAGTATGTCCTTCATACCTCTACATCCTCTAGTTCAACCTTTGAGATCTGATACAATTTACATATATATATATATATATATATATATATATATATATATATATATATATATATATATAAAGTCGTAGCCTCTGTCTGACTCTTTTTTTTTTTGTTATCGAACTCCTCCTAGGTTTTTGGAGATAGACTCCCATAATCATATATATTCTGAAATAACATTACACAGGGTACTTGGATAAATATATTTCATTTTGTTCAAAGTGGGTCCCCGAGGACACAAACCCCCACTGAACAAGGGAATGACTCCTAGGGTACTTGGATAAGTATATTTCAATTTGTTCAAAGTGGGTTACAGGGGGCACAAACCCTCAATGAAAATTTTTCCTTTTGATTTAAATTTAAATTTGAAGCATGACTCCTAGGGTACTTGGATAAGTATATTTCATTTTGATCAAAGTGGGGTCGTGTAGGCAAACTCACCATTGAAAATTTTTTCCCAATGATTTAAATTAAATTTAAATTTGAATAAGGGAATGACTCCTATCCAAAATATAGAAGGAGAAAGCCAGAAGATGAAGGTCACACCGGCAAGATCAAAATGAGACAATATGGATGTCAAGTTGAGCAAGAAATCACCATTCAGTGGGTAGTGCCTTACAATAAATATTTCTTGCGACAATTTAACTGTCATATCAATGTTGAAATCTGCTGATCAATTCATACAATCAAGAATTGCATCAAATACACATCAAATGGGTCAGATCAAGCTGTTTTGCATAAAACATCCATTGAAATTTTCTTCCCTTTGATATAAATTTAAATTTGAACACTATCCAAAATATAGGAGAAAGCCAGAAGATGGCGGTCACATCGGCAAGATCATTGAGTAATGTTGAAATACATCATTTTTCTCCACAAATTATAACAATGATAAAGACGAAGACACAAAGAAGAAGAAGAATATATGGTTCTATAGAAAATTACTGAAAATTCCATGGACGGATCAAGAAAGCACCGAAAAGATCTTAATGGAAATGGGAACAGAATGAACACGTATACTCAAAAGCAGAAAAAAAATAACAAATAAATAAACAACTGAAATTCATCAGACTCACAATGAAGAAAAAGCATTTGGAAAACACTCATATATATATATATACAGTGTAACCCGGATATAAGAGACCCTGATATAAGACAAACCCGGATATAAGAGAGATTTTCTATGGTCCAAAATTATAGCCTGTGTCCCAATCATCATTTTTTCTTAGAAAAAAATGTGTGACACGTAGCAATGAGTGGGTAATTCAGCTAGTATAATAATAAAAAAAAATAATCAGTGGAGAGATATGACCGCTTACGTCCGGGAAGGAAATGGCTTTAAAATAAATATATGTATATTTAAAACAAAAAAAAATGTCAGGATTTCAGCATCGCTAATTTGGTGGAAGAAGAAAAGAAGAAATAAATTTATGATCATTGGATCGAAAAGAAATAAAGCAAGGATCTTTGGTTTTCAATGAGAATTGGAACCTGGGGAAACTGGCCGAGGGTTTGATATCCTTTACTGATTCTATATTGAGAAATATTTAGGCACCCCTCCTAGAATGTACTCGAGTGGTGTCTTTTGGTAAAACAGACGCGTACTTTAGATGACCCAGCTGTTCAGTTTCTCGCTTCAGTCACTCCGT